ATATTATTCATCACTGAAAGAAACATGAATTCCTTAATAAAATAGATGATTCCAAGTCTCAAGCAGAAAATGAATTAAATATGCTAAGAATATTGTACCATCCCAGAATGATCAGGGCCACCTAGGGATCTAAGGCAGCTTAAAGCTTAAAGAGATTCTACTTAGCCCAAAATGGAAAATTTCAAATTTAAAATCAACCCAGGGGCTGGAGATACACAAAGTCCTTGGTTCAGTCCTCAGCATTATATAAAGAGGACATGGTCATGCACACCTGTATTTCTAGAACTTGAGAAGTAGAAGTAGGAGGACTAAGAGTTCAAGATCTTACTTGGGTATATAGCAAGTTTCAGGCCAGCCTGGGCTACACGCAACTCTATCTAAAAAAATAATAGTAAAACAAGCTCTCTTCTCATCCCTCATGTGAGAAGCTTCTTCCTGAAGTAGATGTCAGTTAATACAGAAACACACAACCTAAATAATTAAATCTAAAAAAATGTCAAAATTTGGGGCTGGGGAGATGGCTCAACAGGTAAAAGCTCTTGCTGTGCAAGCATTAAGACCTGAATTCAGATCCCAGAACCCATGTTTAAAACACTATCTGGGTATAGCAGCATGCACCTGGAACCCCAGCATTGGGGGAAAGCAGGGAAAGCCAGGAGGATCACTGGGGCTTGCCAGCCACCAGAACAGCCAAAAATCCAGGAGCTCCAGGTTCCATGAGAGACTCTGTCTCAAAGGAATACAGCACTCAGCAATAGAGGGGGGTGGCCAATGTCCTTTTCTGGTCTCTGCGAGCATACACCCATGTACACACATATATAATTGTAAAAATAAAATTTAAAAACAAAAGCTGAAAAAGTCAGACTTGCTGGCCCACATCTTTAATCCCTACACTTGAGAGTGGAGGCAGGGAGATCACTCCAGGTTTCAGGGCAGCATGAGTTCTAGGACAGCCTGAGCTACAGAGGAAGACCCTGATTCAAAAAACAAAAACATAAAAATCTGAATCCTTGGGCTGACAAATGGCGCACTGGATAAAAGTGTTTGCTGGGAAAGTCTGATGACCTGAGTTCAATCCCATGTAAAGGCAGAACCCATGTAAAGGCAGACATATGCCAATGGAATGCATGACCCTACACACACACACACACACACACACAATAATAAATACAATAAAATATTTGTTAAAAATCTGAAGTCACCAGGCGTGGTGGTGCACGCCTTTAATCCCAGCACTCGGAAGGCAGAGGCAGGTGGATCTCTGTGAGTTCAAGGCCAGCCTGGACTACATAGTGAGTTCCAGGACAGCTGGGCTGGGGCTACAGGGAGACCCTGTCTCAAAAAGACCAAAAAAAAATCTGAAGTCAGGCCTGGTGGCATGTATCTGCAGTCCCAGTATCTGGAAAGCTGAGGCAGAATTGTGAGTTAGAGACCAGCCTGGACTACATGTTACACCAGTGTCCCCCCCAAAAAAGCAAATCAAAATGGAATGAGGTGAGCATTACAGTTTAAACGAAATACAGCAGAGGAATAAGGTTAAATGGCATCATGTGAATTCCATCAGCAAAATCCAGAATGTAAAGCTCTCTCTGAGAAAGCCAGCCAGTGTCTTCAATAGATAAATTACAAGAAAAAAAAATTGAGAGGACTATTACAAGTTAAAAGACTGAAGAGACACATTAATATGATGTGTATACAACTGATCCTCTGCATCTGTCGGATCTGTGTAAGCAGATTCAGCCAATCACAGAACAAATAGTTTTAAAAAGAGGGCTGGTTAGATGGATCAGGGGATAATGATGCTTGCCACCAAGCCTGATGACCTGAGTTCAATCCTCAGAACCCACATGGTGGAATGAAAGAACTGACTCCTGCAAGTTGTCCTCTGGCCTGTGCACACACATGCTGTGTGTGGCACACATCCTTTTTCTCCCAACAAATAAACGTTTAAATTTTTTAAAAATATCTTATTTATTTTTATGTGTATGAGTATATTGCCTGCATGTATGTAAGTGCACCTGTGCCGTGCAATACCCACAGATCCCCTGGAACTGGAGTTTGGACAGTTACTGGCCATCATGTGGGTGCTGGGAACCGAACCTGGGTGCTCTTAACTGCTGAGTGCTCTTAAGCCAGTGCTCTTAACTGCTGAGTCATCTCTCCAGCCCCTAATGTTTTTAAAATAATTTTTAAAAGGTATCTGCACTGAACGTGTATATACTGCTTTCTTGTTTTTCCAAAACAATACAATACAGCAACTATTTACATAGCCATTTATTTACCATTTACACAGCATTTACATTGTATTTAGTACAACTAATATGTAAATTACATGAGAAGATGGGAATAAGTAATGTACAAACACTACAATCTTTTTACGGACTTCAGCATCCATGGATGTTGGTATCTGTGGGAGTCCTGAATCTAAACCCCACAGATACCAAGAACAATTGATCATCTTGTTTGAATCCTGATTTGAGAAAAAAACTAGAAAAATCAAAACATTTACAAGATAAATTAATGTCAAAATAAACACAAAATATTTAATATTATGGGCAAATATCTATATTTGGGTGTGATAGTGGTATAAGGTTATATTTAAAAAATAATTTCTCCTTGTACTCACACTGAAATGTTTACATTTTGTGTGTCTACAATTTGACTCATTATAATCCAAAGATAGAAGAAACATACATGAGAATACAGATAAAACAGTTAGTATTCATTCATTAAACATGGTAAGCATCCACATACTATGTATGTATCCCTAGCTGGTCTGGAACTCACTATGTGGACCAGGGTAGCCTCAAACTGACAGAGATCTGCCTGTCTCTGCCTCTACATGCACCACCATGCCTGGTCTGTTTCTTATTATTTTCCTCTTGAAACTGCCATCTTCATTTGCTTGGTGATACCATTTTCTGGTAGCTTTCCTCCTATCCTGCTGACTACTTCCTAGTCTTTTTCATTGGATCTTTTTTTATTCTCCTTTCCCACTATAAATGTTGGTGTCCCCCCAGGACTCTATCCTTGACCTTCTTTCTGAATATATTTGTGAAGACAGCACCCAATCTTAACTGGTACCTGGAATGGCCACTTGGAATTGACAACTGTTAACTTGTGTTTGCATTATAGTGCCTCTTGATCTTAAAGAGGCTGCTGAAAATCCTTAAAAAATCCTTGTCATCATGGCAAGCTCCTGAAATCAACATTACCCTAATCAGGATTTCTCAACCCCTAGGCTGCTGACATTTTGGATTGGATTATTTTCTCTTGCAATGAATTATCAGATCCACTGTATAATAGTTAGTGGTAATCCTGGTTTCTAGTAGGCAACATTAGTTACAGTAACCAAAATAGTTTCTACATGTCCCATGGGGAACACAATCTCCTCATGTTCATAACCACTGTGCTAAACTAAACTTACCCTCTTACCTTCCTAAATATTTTTCATCACCTTAGTTATTGGTATTATCATGGACTAGAAACTTGGGTCATCTTAGCTGCTATCTTAATTCCCTCTTCCTCCTCAGTCACATCTAATCCATCTCCAATCCTTGTCAATTTTACTTTCTAGAAATATCTTTTAAAATAAATAATAACTAAATAAACAAATAAGAAACAGCTAAAGGAAAACCTGAACTTGATCCCTGGAACCCATGTGGTGGAAGGAGAGAACAGATTCCCTCAATCTGTCCTCTGCTCTGCACACACACACACACACACACACACACACACACACACACACACAATAAATAAAATAGGATAATTGAAGACAAAAATAGGAAAAGAAGCTGATGCAGAACATAAGAATTTCTGAAGAATGAGTCTACAAAAAGAGCTGTGTCCTAGCAGGGGAATTCTGGAAGTTTCCTGCCAATGTGCCCCATGTGCTAGATAGCTTTAGTGTCAACTTGACACACCTGGGTTGAGGGAGCCTCAATTGGGGAATTGCCTCCATTGGATTGGCCTGTGGCCATGTCTGTGGGGCACCTTCTTGATTACTAAGTGAAGTGGGAGGGCCCAGCCCATTGTGGGTTGGGCCTATGTTGTATAAGAAAGTAGATTGAGTGGGGGCCAGAGGAGCAAGCCAGTAAGCAGCATTCCTCCATGGTCTGTGCTTCAGCTCCTGCCTCCAAGTTCCTGCCCTGAGCGGCCTGATGAACTGTGACCCAGGAGATGTAAGAAAAAAAACTCTTTCCTCCCCAAGTTGTTAGTGATCAGAGTGTTTTGTCACAGCAATGGAGAAACAAACTAGGACACCCCATGAAAAGGCAGCACCCCAGTGACAGAAGCCAGGATCATTAAAAAGGTGGGTGCTGGTAAGAATTAAAAGGAGTAAGAGGGCATCTAGTTCAACCCTCAATAAGGCTTGAGCCTTTTGCTGTTGAGCTCTATGAGCACAGTCATCATTTCTACCGACATTGTAAGTCAATACTATAGTCCCAGCATGTGCATAGTGCCTGACACACAGTGGGTACTCAACAGTGGATCCATGAAACTGAAGGATTCATAAAAGTCTCAGAGTTTGTCTTTTGCGATGCTGGAATTGAACCTGGGGCTTCATGCATGCGTAGCAAGTATTCTACTACAGAGTTATGTCCGCAGCTCAATCTCATGATATAGATGTCTTACTACATGCCTACATCTCTTACGGTATTTCTCTGTTCTGCTGAAAGCATTAATCTTCCAAATATTTTGAACACCATACAAGATAGGGTGGACTCAGGCATACCTCTTTTCCTAATACTTCCCTATTATTAAAGTCCTTGAACTCCCTGACATTTAAAATAATGACGCAGTTCTACCTCCTCCTCTCTACCCTGCTTGAAATAAAACAGTGCCAATGTTCTGAACACATTAAGAGGTAGGCATTCAGTACAGAGCCCCTCTTCTCCTCCAACAATCCTGGCAGCCGCCCATACTAAAATGTCAGGGATTCTGCTGTTACAGACTACAATGCCCCAGGTCGTCTTAAACCAGCCCTCGAGCCTTTTTACCTGAGCCGCTTGAATGTGTTTCTCAGGGATGTTTTTCAGATGGTTAGACGGTACACAGACAACGTTCCCATCTGTGTGAAGAAACATAATTTACATAGTTTTCCTAATTCAGCAACTCTAATTCCCTCCATCAGAGGCATATATGAATATAAAGGAACAAAATGCCTAATTCAAGTATAGTCATTTTTCAGAGAAAACATCATTGTTTCTTAGTTTAACCATTAATCAGCTGATTCTTAGTGGAGCTAGTCCTCAGTATTTTCTCTCATACCAAAAATGCACCACATGATGACAATGGTTTTCTGTTCAGATTTTAAGAGGGAAATAAAACGTAACGGGTTTTGTTTTTCTTTTGATGAAGAGTAGACCACTGACATCATAAAGTCATTTTCTTCAGCATGTGAAGGGGAAAAGCCAAACGTTTGTCTTACTGAACTTTAGTTTAAGGCATATGGATATTAAACAGTGTGACTAAAATAAAATGATTGTGTTTCAAGTGGATTTATTGAAAATGGGCAAACAGAAATCTCAGGAATGGAATCCAGGAATGGATGCAGGAATTAAGTCTCAGAAAATCTCATGGTGATTTCCTTCATCTCTCCTTTCCAATTCTTTTAAGGCAGATTCACCACAAAAAATCTCTAGTTTTTAGGTCTGTGAGGATGGGAGCTAAACAAGATGACTCCCTAACAATGATAGCACTGCTCCCAGTATGGACAGAAGCATAAATGAGGATGAAGACGACAATGCTGAGATGGCAGCAGCAGTAACAGAAACATTCACTCTAAGTCTGCACCAGGTATCAGGTAAAATGCTTTTAGGGGAATATGCAAGGGCTGTGGTTTCTATCAGCGCTATAATGATAGCCCATCAAAAACTATCCCCAATGGGGCTGGAGAGCTGGCTCAGCAGTTTGGAGCACTGACTGCTCTTGCAGAGGACCTGAGTTCAGTTCCCAGCATCCACATGGAGTCTAAACGGTTTGTAACTCCAGTTCCAGGGAATTCAATGCCCTCTTCTTACCTTCATGGGCACTGCATATGTGAGGTTCACTTATATACATGCAGCTTTGTGATCATGACCTGCATCAAATATCTCCAGTTCAGCTTTCTTTAAGATCACTATGTGTTCCATTCTTACTGACAACTATTATCTGTGCTCTTCTCTCCCCTCTCCGTCACTATTTTTTCCAACTGACCTCTCCAAGTTCCCAGGTAGTATCCCACAGTCTTTGGATTGCCATCTGGGCCTCGGTTCACAGAGAAGGTGGACTTATTTCGGTAGCCATTGATGACAGGCTGGAAAGTGTAGAAAGAAAGGAAGGGGAATAAAAGATCAAACAAAAATCAAGGAGGACAACAAAGGGAATGCAAAAATGTTCTCTGAAAGCAGACAAACAAAACTGGCTTGGAAGGTATGGTGCATGTGAAAGTCTGTAGCTCACAGTAGAAAGGAGCTCCAGGTCCTTCAGCACTCTCTCGCTCATGTGCTCTGCTGTCAACTCTTATTTTGTTTCTTAGGGTTTTATGTTGTTGTTGTTTGAGAAAGGGTCTCCCTGTAGCCCCAGCTGGCCCAGCTCCCTGTAGAGCAGGCTGCCCTTCACAGAGATCTGCCTGCCTCTGCCCCCTAGACATTGGGATTAAAGGCATGCACCACAGCCCCCTCACCTTGACAGCTTATTTCTGATGGCTGCTATTGCTTTGATTTTGAATAAAGTTTCCTTGCTACTTTGAAAAAAACATGGACCAAAAGGAGCTCCAATCTTGCCATAAAGCAGGAACCAGCAAACCTGACCAGCCAAGGAAGTTATGGCTCAACAAGACATTTGGTACCTGTCATTAACTACTCAACTCTGACAATGTGGCCCTCAAATCTGTCACATGAATAGGTGATTTTGATAGCAGTACTAAAGGACAGATTTGGCCTAAGGGCTACAGTACGCCTGTTTCTGCCAGAAAATAAATTCTGACTCTTGGAAGCCCAATTAAGAAGGTCCTAAAGCCTGGAATCTAAAGTAGAAAGGAAGTGGCTGATAAACTGGGCTCTGTATCAGAGTATCAGACAGGTCTGACACTTTCTAGATGGGTGCCCTGGGCAAACCGCTTAATCTTTCTGAGCTTTGATATCTCTCTCTCCCTCAAGGCCATTGCAAATAGAAGAATGATAAAATGACACATGATAATCTCCTGCCTAAAGCAAGTACCCATTAGATACTGGCTATATCATGAGCTGTTACAGGGACATGGTAGATGAGGACTGGTGAGATGAGGACTTACAGAGGGAATAATGGGATGGAGGAGACAACGGAGCCCCTCAGTTTGAGGTGCAGCCCCTGTGCCATTGAGACCATGGAGCATTTGTAGGTAAGACTCTAGACTTTGTAAAATTTTCTTCTGAGCTTCAAACTTCACCTGCAAAAAAATAAGAATATAAGCAATGAAACAAAAGAATTTTGTAGTTTCACCACAAAGAAACAGAAAAGAAGACAAAGTTCTTTCAAAGATTCATGGGTCATGATCTTAGCAGATAAGAGAAGCAGAAAAATATAGAACTAGCAAAAATTTAATAAGATACCAGGAAAAGGTCGAGTGAGCTCTATATGAGCTCATCTTTTTATCTGACCTTTAAAAATAAACACTTAATGCATATGTCAGTGTTGTCCAATAGAATGTTCTATAATGGAAATGTTCTATGTCTGTGCTACATTCTACAGTAGCCACTTAGCCACATGTGGCTACTGAGCACTTGAAATGTACCTAGTGGGAATTAGGAAGTATTTTAGCCTTGTTTAATTTTATGGTAATAGGAATCAAACCCAGGGCCTCATGAATGCTAGGTAAGTGCTCTACCACTGAGCCACACCCCAGCCAAAAATCCTAATTTTAAGTGACTTATAGTCAGTTCTTCTATAATGTTATATAAGTGTTCCTCTATGACACTACCCAAAGTGCATAGAAAAAACACAGTACTCATGGGAGAAACAGGATCAGGTATACAACATTATAAAATTCAGCAGTAACTCCCATAGGTAAACAGCTCTTAGAAGAAGAAAGGTCAGTGAGAACTGTGATTTCTATTACTGTGTTATAATGACTATCCATCAAAAAATATCCCCAGTCAACTTTGTGATCATGCTCTGCATCAAAGACTTCCAATTCAACTTTCTTCAAGGTCACTGCATGTTCCAGTCCTACTGCCACTGTTCCCTGACCTCTCAACTCTTGGTTTCTTATTTCTACTAGCCACAGCTTTCAGGAGACCTCTCTAAATTCCCAGTACCCCACAGTCTTTGAATTGCCATCTAGGTCTTGGCTCCTTTCTTGCTTTTTTGTTGCTGTTTTTAGGTTGTTTTTCTGTTTTGTTTTGATTTTTGGAGACAGGGTATCACTATGTAGTCCTGGCTAGCTCCCAAGTGCTGGGATTAAAGGTATACAACACCACACCCAGTTTTTGTTTCTGCTTTTGTTCTTTTATCATTCTTATAACTGTGTTTATATGTGGCAATCTCTTACACCTTCCAACACAGACTCTAATAAGAACAGCACCACTTCATGCATGTCAAATGGCTAAGAAATAAGAATATGACAATAAGGCTGGCTCTTTCTCCCAAAGACCTAAGGTTTGCTTCTGGAAGGCAAGGTGCCAAAAGGGTTACAGCTTAGAAGGTAGTGTGAGAGAGTAAAAGTGAGTTGGATGGACTACTGTAACAGCAGCAATGAATTAGTATAGTTCCTAACAGTCTCAGAAAACTGAAGGAATCAGTAGATATATGGTGTGTGTGTGTGTGTGTGTGTGTGTGTGTGTGTGTGTGTACATTTTATGGGCTTTTTTATTTTTTGAGACGGGTCTCACTATATAGCTCTGGTTAGCCTGGAACTTGTTCTGTAAACCAGTAGACCAGGGTGACCTTGAACTTACAATGAGATCTGCCTGCCTCTGTCTCAGGGAATGCCAGGATTAAAAGCATGCACCACCAAGCCCAGCCCATTTTATGGATTCTTATATGGTCTGGTTCAACTGGGTGCAATTTCCTCCTTTCATCTCGCACATCTCAAGAAAAAAATTGCTCCTAGGCAAATGTGAAATCAGCATTATATTCAAATTATTCCCTAATATATCAATCAATTGGAATAAATTTTTCAAAGCAAGTCTTTTGGCAAAATTGACTGTATTTAAATTTAAACAGCCACTTGCCAGCTGGGGGCTCCTGTGTTGCAAAGTGCAACCACTCTGTTATTCATATACGTATGAATGACAAGGAAAATGAGCAATTGACAACTTGGGTTTTGAAATTAGAAATTATATGAAGTTCAAATTTCAGAGTCATTAGCATAGGAAGTTTAAAGACCTGCAGGGTGGGCTGTGGATGCACTTTGTTGGGTGGAGTGCTTATCAAGCATGCCTGAAGTCCTGTGTTCAAGCCCCAGAACTGCATAAATGAGGTGTGGTAGTTCACTCCTGTAATTCCAAGAGGCAGAAGACTCAGAAGTTAAAGGTCATCCTCAATTATATAACTAGTCAGAAACCAGCCTGGGCTATAAGACACCATATCCCAAAACAAACAAACAAACAAACAAATAAAAGAATCTGGGCATGGAGGTATACACCTTTAACCCCAGCACTCAGAAGGAAGAGGCAGGTAGATCTCTGAGTTCCAAGCTAGCCAAGGCTACACAGTGTCTCAAAAAAACCCAAAAAACAAAAAAGTAAAATAGAAAGGACCTGTGAGGCAACTGGGTAAAACTGTCCAATGAGACTTCCCATGGCTCTTTAGTGTCATTCTCCTGTAGGAGAGGAAAGAAACAACTTAAGCTAAACACCTACCTTGAGTTGTTCTTCATAGTTCAGCCTCCAGAGTGGAGTCACCACATCAGCCAGTCTTGAATAAAATAATTGAGACACACTGTTAATTATCTAAATATGTGCTGAACACATACTATGTATAAGTATTTCTTGTCACCACTTTCTCCAATGTTTAACTTATTCAGAACACCCAACTAACTCTCATGTCCCTAGGGAAATGAGTCTTGGAGACCCCATTTTGGTGGTGTCTACTGTTTAACAAAGCAGAACAGATAGGCCAACTCAAAGTAAAAAAAAAATCCAGATTTATCAGGTGGTAATTAATCATCTCATGAAAAGATTTAGTGCTGGGTGCCTCTTAAAAAACACCCTCCCAGGGGCTAGAGAGATGGCTTAGCGGTTAAGAGCACTGGCTGCCATTACAGAAGACCCAGGTTTGATTCCCAACACCCACATGGCAGCTAACAACCATCCATAACTCCAGTTTCAAGGGAATCCAATGCCATCTTCTGACCTCCAAGGGGATTGTATGACATCATGGGTGCACTGACACACATGCAGGCAATACACTCATACACAAAAAGTAAAAATAAACAAAATATTTAAAAAGAAAAAAGCTCACCTCCCTAAGGCTTTTAAAACATAATTTGAAATTGAAAATACATCTGTTGCATAAAATGAGGTCTATTTGTATTTGTATGACTGTGATGGGACTAGTCATGTCCAGTCTGCCTACCATTTTGATTTTTCTGGTTTTTGAATTTTTTAAATTTATTTTTATTTTACTTTGTGTTTTGAGACAAGGTCTCATGTAGTTCAGGCTGAGGATGTAATAGCTGAGGATGACTCTTGATCTTCCTGCCTCCACCTCCTGAGAGCTACAACTGGAGGTGTGCACCACCATGCCCAACTTCATAGACATTTTTAAGAGGCAAGGACCTTGTTTGAGATCTCCTTTCTCAAGACACACAAAGACAAGAACATTATCTACAATCTCAAAGCAGTTCTATTAATAGCTTCATGTGTGCCCTAGGCGCACTACCCCTCAAATCTTGGCAATGCTACATTAGTAAGGTTAGCAATACAGAATCTCAGTGGACCCATGGATTCTGACTTGGGAAGAACAAAGAACAGGAGCCTCGGTCTTACCTCTCCTCCCAACAGTCATCTGGTGGTCTAACATAGCTTTGTTTCTTTTGACACTTTTGTCCTCTTGGATACTTCTTGGTTATCACATGAGTGAAATTTCCTTTACATGCTGTGCCCAAAAAGGGCCGTGAACAATTTCGTGGTTTTGTGGTACACCAGGGAAGCAGTCCTGTTTCAGAGAACAGGCCCACCCTGGAAAGGAAGAGTCTTGGGCTATGCATTAGGGCTCTTCTCTTGGTGCCTGCCAATCAAAGAAATACACTGTAACTCACCTGTTGAAAGGTGGACATACAGAAATACAATTCACAACCCTTTCACTAATTTATATACCTATATAGAACCCCAGAAATGAGCACAGTGATGGCACAGTATTCAGTAAAGCATACCTCTCGAACACAACTTAGTGTATGTAGGACAGTTTTAAGCCAGACCTGATGGTGCAGGTCTATAATCCCATCAACTCAGGAGGCTGAGGCAGGAAGACTACAAGTTCAAATACTGCCCAAGCCACAAAATGACTTCAAGGTTAGATGATGTAATTTAGTGAGACCCTGTCTCAAAATTTTAAAACTTTAAAAAAAAATTTATTTTATATGCATGGCCTGCTTATGTGTAAGTCCACCTAAGTCATGCAATGCCTGAAAAGGTTAGAAAAAGGCATCAGATTCTCCTGGAACTGGAGTTACATTCTGCTGCTTTCCCTGATTTTAGGGGAAGTACAGGACACAAATCTATTTTGTAATATTTTTTAAAAGATTCAAATATTTTTAAATTTTTTATTTATTTATATTTTATATGTATGAGTATATTGCCTGCAATGTAAGTGCACTTATGTCATGTAATGCTTGCAGAGGTCAGAAAAAGGCGTTGGAGCCCCTGGAACTGGAGTTACAGATGGTTGCTAGTTGCCATGTGGGTGCTGAGAACTGAACCCGGGTCCTCTGCAAGAGCAGCCAGTGCTCTTAACTGCTAAGCCATCTCTTCAGCCCTCTTAAAACATTTTTTTAAAGGAGCCAGAGATGTAGCTCAGTCAATAGAGTGCTTGCCTAGCATGCATGAAGCCCCAGGTTCAACCCCCAGCACCACATAACCAGCTATGGCAACACACATCTGTAATCCTAGCACTTAGGTGATGAAGGCAGGAAGATCAGGAGTTCAAGACCATCCCTGGCTACACAGTGAGTATGAGACAAGAGATATGCGACCCTGTCTCAAAAAACAAAAGAGTACTAGGGCTATACCTCAGTGGTAGAATGCCTACCTAGAATGTGTGAGGCCCTTGGTTTAATCCCTAGTAGCAAACAGATAGCCAACAGACAGACAGACAGACAGACGATAGAAAATAACCGGCTCCCAAAATAAAGAGATGTGGAAAATACAGATTCTGTTCCCCAGGAAAGAGTTTAGCTCTCTCAATACATTTCTACAGGCAAACCCTTCCCTATCCTACGTTCCCACCTAACAGCCAACCATGCAAGCAATATTTAGTGCTTACTATGAACCAAACAACCTGTGACATCAGTACTAAGGGGTTACAAGGTTTTGGTCTGAGAGCAAATCCAGACACAGGAAAAATGTTTGTAAGTAATGATAGCCTGGTTCCTGATGAGTGTTCAAGAAAGGTTTCCTAAAGCAGGTAGGCCTTGTATGGAGAAGTAAAGAGCTGACACAGCAGTTCTGTAAGTACAAGTTATAATGCAGAATGAGAACCAGGAAGGCTGGGCATGGAGGCACACCCCAATTCTCAGCACTCAGGAGGCTGAGGCAAGCCAGCCTGGGCTATACAGTAAGTAAGTTCTGGACAACCAGGACTATCTAAGTAGGTGCTGGGAGGGAGGGAGAGAGGGGAAGAAGGAAAGGAAGGGAAGGAAAGGAAGTAGGAAAGGAAGGAAAGAAGGAAGGGAAAAAAGGAATAAAAGGGAGGGAGAGAGAGAGAAAAGGAAGGAAAAGAATGAAGAGAACCAGAAACTATGGCGCCATGGAGGCCAAGGGAAGCATCTCTGATATAGACACTTACATGCCAGGAAGTCTAAGGTAAAAAAAGAAGAGGAAGAAAGCAATGGATAGAGCCAGACAATAGGGTCAAATCAAAGCTTTGGAATTCCAGCTCAGACCCTATAATCAACAGACCTGGCTTGGGTTGTCTGCTGGATCTAACACACTTATTAGCTAGGTGGCTTCTGGTAAGTTAGCTACTCCTCTAACATTCCTTTTCTTTCACCTATAAAATAGAGACAATCATGATACCTACCTCACATAGTGGCTTCAAATGATAGAGATAACTTAAAAAAATAAAATGGACTGCTGAGAGAGGAGCTCAGTGATACAGCACTTGTTTAGCAGGTACAAGGCCCTCAACTGAATCCATCATACTACATTAAAAAAGTACTCAACGAAGATTAAAAGGAGATGACATCTGTAAAGCTCTGAGCACAGTGCCCAGTACCTGGAAAAAGCTCTTCAGTGTTACTAGACATAATGGAACTGAGTGGGGGAGGCAATACTGAAGGAAAGCAACAGAAAGGAATCATAACTCTGAAGTAAATGCTGAAGTGTTAAGACTCATGACTCTCAGAACACACAGGAAGGCTCCACTCAGAGGAAGGTCTCTCTCTTCCTCCCACATAGAACTGTCCTTCCATCTATTGACTTTCAGGTGCCTGTCCTTTACTCTGTAAGCACTTTCTTTTTCTTTTCTTGCAAATACTGGATATTAAACCCAGTGTCTATGCTGGGCAAGCACTCTACCACAGGGCTATATACCCAGCTCCTTCCACTTTTTATTTTGAGACAGGGTCAAGTTAGTTGCTCAGGCTGACCTTGAACTCTCCCCATGTAGGCCTTTAAGTTGTAACCCTCCTTAAATCCTTAATGTCTTGAGTAGCTGGGATTATAAGCCTAAATCCTTACCTTAATGTCTTGAGTAGCTGGGATGGCAGGCCTGTGCCACCAGGCCTGGCTAAGCACCATTCTGTATATTTTTCTAAAACTTATTTTTTATTGTTTGCAAAACATTTGAATATGAGCAAATTATTGAAACCTTATCACAACTAGTAATTGACCACCTAGAATCCTAAACAAAAATTTTACATAGGAAAGTTTTTTACACTAAAATTAATGACATGTTTAAATTCCCCTAAAACTATGAAAGAAATACATTATTATCTTACTTAAAACAAGATGGAAGATTAGAAAGCCAGATTTTGTGGGGTGTCCAGGGTCTCACTTATGTACAGCTTGAACTGTAACTCTGAGCTAACACCTTAGAAAGCAGTTTTACAAATATCTTTATGAGGTAAGGATTTAACTCAAATTCATATGAACTATCTTTCAAAGACTTTAATATACTATCTGTAAGCCATTTCAAAAACTTAAGCAGTATTCCTCTGAAGATGTGGTATGTTCTATTACCACAGTTACAGGGAAGAAGTAGAAGGAGGAAACTGTCCCATAGGATTAACATGTTTTTGTTACATTAAATGAATAATGAGGGAACAAGACAGGTTCCTGATCTTAGTTCTGCTGATATTTCATTTGATTAGTTTATGTACTTTGTGGCTCCTCACACAAGTAAAAGACTTCATAGTTATGATTCAAAATATTAAATATTTAAAAGGTTAGTCCTCAGAACCTAAAGAAGAATAAAGGCTAAAGGGGCATGAAACACCCCAAAAGTTCAAGTGTACAGAGGAAAGCTGTGATGCAAGCATAGCCTTGCATTCTCTTCATTATGAAGCAAATCTAGATGGTGTCAGAGTCTTGAAGAAGTCCTGGGAACTGCTTCAGACTGCTTCCCCAAACTGAAAGTATGGGTTCATAGCACCATTCTTAAGAGTCACAGAACATGTGATTGAACTTAGCATGACAACCTATTGATCTGCTATGAAGTTACCACTTACCACTGACCTCTACCTTGGATTTTGTCAGAATGTCATCATTTGAGGTTGGAGGAAATCTCAATTTGGTAGTGGGGTGGTTGAGACAGGTGTCCTTGTAGCCTCAGCTGGCCTGGAACTCACTAAGTAGACCAGGCTGGCATTGACGCCAGAGACCCATCTGCCTCTGCCTCTAGTGCTGGGATTAAAGGCATGTGCCACCATACCTGGCTAAAATTTCATACTTTTAACAGAATGCATGTAAGCTGGTCCACAGATCAGCCCTTAAAAGCAGTAAGGTGCCATAATTAAAATATAAGCTTGTTAGACATGGTGGCACAAGCCTTTGATCCCAGTACTTGTGAGGCAGAGGTAGGTGGATCTCTGTGAGTTCCAGTCCAGCCTAGTCTAAATAGTGAGTCTCAGGCTAGCTAGGGCTACATAGTGAAACCTGTCTCAAAAAAAAGAAAACATAGGCTTTAAAAGTTGGGGTGCTACAAAGTGAGTTCCAGGTTACCTGGGGCTACAGGGAGACCCTGTCTCAAAAAAAAATAAAAAATAGAAACATAAAAGCTGGGGTGATATAGCTTAAAAGTACTTAACTAGTATGTGAAAGGGCCTGAGTTTGATCCCTATCACCACAAAAAAAAGGCTGGAGTTGTAACTCAGTGATAGAGCAAAGCCCTTGGTTCAAGCCTTAGCACTTAAAAAAATATTTAGCAAACAGTACTGGAAGAACTAGATATCCACAAGTAAAAGAATGAAAATATATCCTTATCTCTCTCACCCTGCACAAAACTCAATTCCAAATGGATCAAAGACCTTAACATATGAACTGAAACTATGAAATTGCTAGAAGAAAAAGTAGAGAAAAAAACTTCAAGACCCCAGCATAGGTAAGGACATTCTGATCAGACTCTGGTTGCACAGGAAATAAGGCCAATAACTGACCAACTGGACCTAATGAAGCTAAAAGGCTTCTGTACAAGTAAGTGAGGAGGCAGCCCAGAATGTGAGAAAATCTTTGCTAGCCACACATCTGACAGAGGATTAACACCTAGACTACACAAAGAACAACAACAAAAAAAAACAAAAAAAAACCGCTAAACCTGAGAATAAACAATCCAATCCAAAAAAAGGAGCTAAAGAAATAAACAGAGTTCTGAAAACAATGCAAATGACCAATAAATTTGGGGTGAGGGTTTGGCAGGAAGGTTTGAAACAGGTTCTCTCTGTAGCCTCAGATGGCTTGGAACTCACTAAATAGACCAGGCTGGCCTCAATCCCACATAGATTCACCTGCCTCTGCCTCTGAATGCTGGGATTAAAGGCATGTACCACCACACCCAGTTTCCAATAAATATTT